TAAAAATGTATTGAAATCGATAAATCTCAAAGAAATCCATGTTTAAATCTAATTCCAGATCTGGATCTATATTACAAAACATTGGTGAGTTTTTTATTAACTGAAATATTTAAATCTTACAACCCATATTATAAAGAATATATCTTTATACACAAAATACATTTTAGGCTCAAAAATCCGAATTAAAACTCAATAAAAATTATACAAACAGTGGGTATAGGGCTGGGCGAGATGTTACTCGCGTCTGATGTGCTGCATAACTCCTGAAGCTGTAAGAGAATGATCTCCTTTGCTGTACTACACAAAATTCCATTGCAAACCCCTTCAAAACTCCTCCAAATTGCCAAAATCCGAGCTAGGGTTTGAGAGGGAAAGATGGGGGCTAGGGTTTTGTGAGATCTGATGGGTTTTGGGGTTGGTTTCGGGTAAAAGAAATTATATATGAGCGGTCAAACCCAAAACAAAACCGTACAGACCCGCAAACTAAAAGAAAAACTAGAAATCAGCCTGTGAGTCGACTCATAAGTCGACTCATAAGTCGACTGAGCAGACATTTTCCAGATTCATGCATGTTTTGCTTATTTGCCAAAACCAATGCACAAAACTCTATAAAAATACACTCATACATCTCTAATAACTTGTTATCCAGTATATCCATGACCTCAAGCCATTTATCACGATAGAATTATTTATCACCAATAATTCACATATCTTCATAGCCAAAAAAAAAAATACAGGGTTTTACAATAACAAGTCGACTTATACTATATAAGTTGACTTATACATGTCATAAGTGTTCGCGGAAAAAATTGTTTTCATTGATGTCATTGTTTTCTTGAGCAACAGTTTATCGGTTACAAAAGATCCGGTCTTTTTATAAGATCCGGTTACAATAAAATAAAAAAAAAGAAAATCTTAAAAGATTACAACTTTCCTTTTCTGGAACAAATCACAAGATCCTATTTTGCGGTCGTTTGGTTTATCCGAACTTCATTGTTGATTTGGACTCTGATTTGGCAGTCCGGATCCTGATTTGACAGTAAATCCGCTTTGGTGTTCGAGTTCGAGTCCGCTCCCGATCTTGTTTGATGCGGTGGACTCTACGGTTGGATGACTCGTTGATTCATCGACCTATTAGCTTGATTGGGCACGCGATTGGATGTATTCCATTGTTTGCGTGCGGTTCGTTAACCTCGTCGCCTCATTAACTTGGCTTCGGTGTTGTGGTCTAACGATCAGGCTTGGATATATTGCCCGATGGTTCGTTGGTTTGTCGAATCACCGTGCCGAGCTGTGTTAAGGGACCTATAAGCAGTTTTATACGCCTACAGATACCCCCTCCAAAGTATTTCAGCCTCATTCTTTTATAGAAGAGTCTGGAATACTTTGGATATGATTGTCCCAATCTTCAATCGGTGTAACGGGACCTTGGAATGGCTTCTATTCTTGATTCTTTTAATCCTCCAGGCTATTCGGTGCTTTGTCGAATGTCTGCAAGGGTTCCGGTGCTGCATTTATTGTCTGACCGTTGTCGAAATTTTGAACTTGAAGTCAATTCCTGATTTTCTGATCTTTAGCTCGTGTTTGCTGTTTCAACATAGAATCGACCATCGATTGTTGGCGTTGAATCTTCATTTGCAACGCGTTGTCCGAAGTTGACACAGTTTATACTCGTACGTCTGCTGGAGTCTACACAGTTTAAGCTCTTAAGGAATTAGAGCGTGACGGTCTTAAATTTGGGGCTGCAGGACCAACTATTACAGTTGTTTCGTCTACATATATGGATATTATGCCGAAGTTGTTGGATGCCTAAGTCACGAGACCAACTCATAAAGTTGATGCATCAATGACTCGCATTTATAGAATTTTTGGCGAATTCTCAGCCATCAACGGGTTTGATAAGCCTTTACCGACTACCGTTTGAGTTGGGCTAGCATGTGGATTGTCTAAATCCGTTCCGCATGTAACGTTGTGCTAAGAGATTGTATTCTCTGAGACTTTATGCTATGATGTCAAATACATAGGCTTTACCATTTGTTACGAGAATAGGCTACCCGGCAACGCGTGTTAGGCGTTGACTTTAGGATTTTTGGCTAACCCCCAGCCTTCAACGGATTTGATTAGCCTTTACCGACTACCGTTTGATTCGGGCTAGCATGCGGATTGTCTAAATCCGTTCCGCATGTAACGTTGTGCTAAGAGAGTGAATTCTCAGAGACTTTGTGCTATGATGTCGAATACATAGGCTTCACCATTGTTACAGGAATAGGCTACCCGGCAACGTGTATTAGACGCTGACTTATCCTTACTTAGGTTTCAGCAGGAATAGGCTACCCGGCAACGTGTATTAGACGCTGACTTATCCTTACTTAGGTTTCAGGATAGGATATTCCAGAATCGAACTCTGGTGTCTTCTTTCATGGAGAAAGACTAAACCGGCGATGCGTGTTAGGCGTCGGCATATCCTTTCTTAGGATTCAGGATGACATTCCCCATGCGTGTAAGGCATGGATTTTGGTGTTATTAATAACAACCTGCTACAATGTTGCGGCAGCGAGGGTTAGGCGCAGACTTATCCCTGTTTAGGTTTCAGGATAGGATACCCCAGAATCGAACTCTGGTGTCTTCTTCCACAGAGAAAGACTAAACCGGCGACGCGTGTTAGGCGTCGGCATATCCTTTCTTAGAATTCAGGATGACATTCCCCATGCGTGTAAGGTATAAATTTTGGTGTTATTAATAACAACCTGCCACAATGTTGAATATATGGGCGGGTGTTCTTTTTAACCGTTAAGAACTAACTGGCAGCGCGGGTTAGGCGCAGACTTATCCCTGTTTAGGTTTCAGGATAGGATACCCCAGAATCGAACTCTGGTGTCTTCTTCCACGGAGAAAGACTAAACCGGCGACGCGTGTTAGGCGTCGGCATATCCTTTCTTAGAATTCAGGATGACATTCCCCATACGTGTAAGGCATGGATTTTGGTGTTATTAATAACAACCTGCCATAATGTTGAATATGTGGGCGGGTGTTATTTTTAACGGTTAAGAACTAACCGGCAGCGCGGGTTAGACGCAGACTTATCCCTGTTTAGGTTTCAGGATAGGATACCCCAGAATCGAACTCTGGTGTCTTTTTCTATGGAGAAAGACTAAACCAGCAGCGCGTGTTAGGCGCAGGCTTATCCCTGCTTAGGATTCGGGAGAAACTTCCTAGGATGAATCCTAGATTGATAAATTCTTGGAAAAAGTTGGTGTGGGAAAGGAAGAATTTTATATTCTATTTTCCGGTCTTCTTTTAGGGTGAAGGCGAACCCGAATACAAGGAAGGAAGAATTTTATATTCTATTCCTTGATTCTGGAAAGGAAGAATTTTATATTCTATTTCCAGCGCAAAAGAAACTAGAAGTGGGATCTCCACTCCGAGAATCAGACAGATTCGGATAATCCTAACTGTCGGAAGGTTGGATTACCGAATTAAAGGTGAATTCCTCGTTTATCGAGAGTGAATTGTGGTTTTGGCCCTAACTGTAGAAAGGTTTGACCAAGCGGGAGTTTGAGTTGATCCTAACTATAGGAATGTTTGATCACTCGATTTGAAAGTGGACCTCTTGTTCATTGGAGGAATCGAGAGGGGATTTTGGTTTTGGTCCTAACTGTAGGAAGGTTTGATCGAATGGGAGGTTTAAGACGATCCTAACTGTATGAAGGTTTGATCGCTCAATTTATGGGCCTCTCGTTCATTGAAGGAATCGAGAGGGGATTTTGGTTGTGGCACTAACTTCTATAGGTTTGACCTGAAAGCAAAGAGAGTGGAATACAAGTAGCAGTAGAAATACTGGTTTGTATTGGCCACTCGATGAAGGGTTTTAACGTTAAGTAATCAGGCTTAACACGTCAAGCTTTGGAAATTGCAATGAATTGGCGGACAGAAAATTTAGTGGACCCACCGTCAATTGACTTGATCAGTGGGGGATTTTTGTGAGGAAAGATTAATCTGTCAAAAGGATCGAATCTCGTCTCAACAAGATAACTCATGAGAATTAGTGAATTTGATAACAATAATGGAAAACATTCCGACATTTAGAGTTTAAATGTGGATGTTTTACTTATCACTTTTATAGTGATTGGGTTATCCCTAAGAATATCACCCGTGGTATTCTTTCGGGAACTTCCCGATACATGAATAATCCACCCCCAGCTTCCCTTGTGGAACTGGGTCCGACATTGTACTCAGTTACATGACCGGGTTATGAAGGCATAGGAGTCACATGTAGATAGGTTAGTTGTTTTAGATGAATTTGTATTGCATAGCATCCTTCGTAATCTATTTCGTTTACTTTGGATCTTCCATATGAGAATATAATGTTTATTTGTGTTATTTAATTAACCTGGAAACCTAAAAAAAATGAGGACACTACTTTCAAGAATCTGCCTATGGGAATGTCATGCTTGGATGTCTGCTTTAGGGACCTTCATGTGAATGATTGATGGGATATCCTCCATTATTGAATCTTGAATCACTCCGTTTTGAGGTGAGGAGGTCAACGATTTACGTCAGTTTTCTTCAAATATCTTGTGCATGCTTGCTACAGTAGGGCATAGCTTGGTCGTAGCAGTTTCATTGTTGTATCTGCTTGGCTTGTGAAAGAGTGCTGTTTGTTTCGGTATGACTTCAATTTTCTACAAAACGCAGAAAAATGTCCTTTTGCGGAAAATCATGGTCCAACTTAATTGCAATTCCTTTGTTGTCTGGCGCAAAATGTTGCTTAATTTGCAAATGCAAATAACAAACAGGCTCAATTGTTATAAGTTTCTGATATCCAACCATTGTTTAGAACTTGCGGTAAGTTGATGCCCACCCTAGAAAACAACCAATCTAAAGGCAATCTGCACATAGACCTATAACCAACAGGAACCTTTGATTCCAAATCTATAAGTAAATCAGTAACAAAACATTTTTGATATTCTCTATCCAGTCAATAACAATTAGAAAAAAAATAAGGCATAAAACAGTGTATGCAGTGTCTTTACAGGGATTACATGATTGAGGTTGGTTACAAATACAATTGTGTGTCAGAGGGGAGGGGTGGTGGAGGTTTAAATAAAGAGAAGACCTATAAAGGCCATCCTTTGTTGACCCTCCACTCAGAGACAGATATTTTATTTGTCAAACTTTCCTTTTCCTATTCTGCTGTTAGAATATCACCTAGTGGTGAGGGACAACGATAATGGAGAACAATAACTGATGCTACTTTGGTTGCTGCTGCTGCTGCTGCTGCTGTTGATTCCTTTCTTCATCTGGGCTTGTTCGTCTATGCGCTAATCTCTCCGTCGTCGTGAAAGTGAATCCAATTATAAATAAAACAGTGGTAGCAGTTAATACTGCTGATCCTGCGAACACGCCATCTTTGACCACGTAGCATTCTCCCTTCATCCATCCTCGTCCATAAGGTTGCTTATTGTTCATACTTGATCCTGTGCCCAGCAGGATTGCAGCCAATCCAAAGCTAATCCTGCAGTTACAAAGAGTTAACAAAAGGGGTTACGACAGAGGAGAATGAGATATATTTATCTGCAATTAACTTTTGGAGTAAGTATGCCAACCAAGATAGAGTCAAGAACACAATTGAAAGAATTCGGGTTCTCCTTGGCTTATGGTCCCTCGAACACAGTCTTGTGGCTGCCACGGTAGTTCCTGTGGCTGCCACGGTAGTTCCTGCAATCTGTGCGATTGAGAGGAGGACGAGCGCAGAGATGCCCAGCCCAAATGCAGGGCTCCTCCGCATGCAACATGTACTGCCATTGACTCCCATGTCACTAGACTTGGACTTCTTGAACTCCGCGGTGAGGCAGCACGTAAAAGCAGCCATGCCCATGATAACTACGGCGGAACAGACCACAGGAATCGCTCTGTAGTGATATTTCTCCATTGAAGTTTCTGAAGGATAAAGATTTCTTGAGGAGAATCTTATAAGAGAGGCTTTGGATTTCCTCTCCTGTTGAAGGGAGGTAGTTGATTCTATTTGACATAGGAGGGAGGAAAGGTGAGGTGTTTTTTTGGACTTGATCCTTGTGTTGGATTCCTGCGTAGAACTTTCCTTTGTTGGGGGCTGGTCAATTTGGAAACAGAGTTTTTGGAGGAGAGGACTTTGTATTGGATAGAATAAGTCCTATTATTGGCAGGCTTAGGATATCCCATTGTGCTTCTCGCTCTTCCTTTGCCTCGCATGTCTTTTTTAATTTTAGGGAGGGGTGAAAAAAAAAAAAAGGAAAGCAGAGTACTAGTGGGATCGAAGCTATTCATAATGGGATTTGATAATTTTTAGCTGATTGGGATCTGACAATTCGAGTTGGTATTCAATTTGCAAAATTATGTAGTCCCAACTTCCATTATTGAAACATTTCTCAGTGTGAATGCAGATGTATCTCCACTATTCTCATGCATTTTGTTTTACGATAACACTTTAAATTGAAAAGACTCCCAACCAACATGCTTCTCAGAATTGGCTGCAATCGAATCATGTAAGTCTAACAATGCATACATTTCTCATATTTTCACTAATGATGAATTACGACTGTACAATAAGCAATAGATGATTGTGAGTACATAATAATGATTTGTCAAATATCAAAATGAAGCATAGAGGATCATAATCCACGTATTGTCAACACGTTGGGAATATTCATCTGATTTCGGGACTGGCCGAGGTTAGGTTAAAGTTGTTATTTTATTTTTGTGGATGCAAATTCGAAAACATTGGCATGTAAGGCTATATATAAAAGGACAAAATTTTAAAATAGACTCCTTTAGAATTTATTTTCAAAAATCAACCCCTTTGAAATTTATTTGCCATTTTTTATCTGGTTTCAACCAGGTTAAAAATGGTAAATAAAGTTTGAAAACTTCACGGGATTTTTTAAAGTATAACGTGGTTAATCAGGCACTAAACTTGATGTGATTTTAAATGACGTAAAGTTTTTAAACTTTTGCAGCTTTCTTAGTGTGGTTAATCAGTCACTAAATTTTACAGGATTTTAGATTTTAAATCCCGTGAAGTTTTTGAATTATATTTTTCATTTTCGACCTAGTTTTAGCCAGGTGGTTAAAACTAGGTCGAAAATGGCAAATAAATTTTAAATGAGTCGTTTTTTTAAAAATAAAATCCTAAAAGGATCTATTTTGAAAATTTATCCCATATAAAAATTGAAAGAGGTTGCTATGTTTGGACTGGAATCAGACGAGAATTGGCTGCTGTAATAAGGAAGTTTTCTCATGTCATTAAAAATTCATTGTTGAGATTGACGTATCGTATCATTTTACCAGTTTGAGCTGGAAATTAGGTCTGAAAGTGATAATACAAGTCAAATATATTCCATTGGCCTACTCTAGCTACGTATTTTACTTAATGTAAATTACAATAGCAGTTTCAATATACGATGCTCGCTAACAAATATTAATAAAATTACCAAAAATATTACCATCTAAGTATTTTAGTAATATGTAGAAGAAGTCGAATCTCTATGAAGAAAATTAGAAAACCACAAGTTTAATAGAGTGAATAATGATAGCTACGCTACTCTCTCCTACAAAACGTCTACACTATAGGAGAGAGAGGCATGGGCTCCCTCGATGAGTTATCAATTTTGAAAAGTTTGAAGAGAATGATACCCTATATTTTTTTTCTCTTGTACTGTATAAGTAGTAGTGTAGTTATCACTACTCAATAGAAAAGTAAATATTGGTCCTCCAGTGTTGCATTAGATTAGAAATGTATCAAACAAATATAACTACATCTAAATCGAGAAACATGCATAATATTCTAAAGCCAAATGTTAACTGTTCTTATTAACTGGTCACCGTCACGATTTTTTTCCAAGTAAATCACCATTCATGGCTCTCAGTATGTGCTGAAATTTAGCAAATAATATTCGACTATTATGTTGTTTCTAAATTCTAAATCATATTACATTCTTTGTGAATACTAAATTTGTGACTATGTATATCTCAAATTTTCTAAGCATTACATCAAAACTTTTGCCTTTTATATGGCTAAAACTTGGACTTACGAAGTGTTGGATTTGGGTATAGATCCATACCTTAATCAGGTGAGATCACGAAGTAGGCGACGTCGATGAAATCGCAGGCGAGCTCCGACTCTGGAGAGGTCGAGCTTGAAGTACAGGCGAGCTTGTGGCAGGCGCAGGCGGGGCTGATCACGAGCTCGAGATCTCACGTGCAGGCGAGATCGACAGCGAGCAAGAGAGCTCGCGAAGGTAACAGGCGAGATCGCGATCCCCTTTGCAGGCGACCTTGGAGTTTGCTGCAGGCGAGCACGAGAAGAGTGAAGTCGGGCGAGCTCGAAGACTTGTTGGCGAGGTCGTGAGCTGCATGCTGATTTTGAACGAGATCAGGCGAGCTCGCCTTTGATTCTCGCCTGCGGTTGTTGGGAACAGCTGGATCTAGCTGTTGGCTAGGGTTTCCCTATTTAAGGGAAACCCATGAGCACGAGAGGACGGCCCTGTTCCGTTCCTCTATCTTTTCAGTGATTTATTGTGCGGTGGCCATTTATTTGAGCTCGAAATTTTCAGAAGAAACGTTCCTTCTTGTGAGATTCCTGTAGCGACTTATTGAGAGAGAGAGACAGGAGTTTTTTTTAGTTAGAAAAACTCGCGCCTTTTAGAACAGCAGAGTTTCTGTTGGTTCTTCTCTTGAGAGATATCAAGTTGAGATCTGCTCTTATACAAGCTTTGTAATCTTCTTTAAAATAAAGGAAATTATTTGTGTGGCTCCCGAAGACGTAGACAAGTTGCCGAACCTCGTTAAAACTCGGTGTACTTTGTTCTTGCAATTTAGATTTGTTGTGATTACTTTTTTCCATTGCTTAACACAAGATCCGGTAGGACAAATTCCGCAGAACGGGTGTCAAAGCGTATCTGATATTTTCCTAACACGAAGTAGTGCTAAGTTTAATTAGAAGACCGGCTTTAAGTTCATGATGATAAGATTTGAATTTGGATTACTCTTATACCACTTATAATTCGCTAACTATTAAACCAAATCTTTAAAATTATCATACAAATTGAGGATTATATTTATATGTTCCAATAGTATAAAACAATTGCATGGACAGCCCACGAATTATGCGGCTATAGCTCTCATATCATCAAATGCATCAGTTGCCATGCGTTGACGTGACTGGCCTCGAGATGTAATTGTACTTTAATGTAACTTAGGGTGGCTTCTCATTAAAATATCTGGAGCTCAGAAGCATTGAATCACGATTAGTAGCCGGCAATGGTATTTTACTAACATGACAAAAATGCGTGAAGATGAGCCTTTTTTTAGCAGTCTAGATTGAGAAACTTGGTGGTACATACACTAGTAGAAAAACGACCAACCTAGACGGAAATTTCCGTCTAGGTTGGTCTACAAATAGTTAGACCGATCTATGGTTGGTTATCTAGACGGAAATCCGTCTAGGTAGATTGGTTATATTCTGTACCATCGTCTAGTTTGGATACAACCTTAGACGGCATATTTCCGTCTATAATTAGATCAATTCTAGGACGGTAAAACCCAACGACTACGCGGAAGTAACTATTTCGCGCTCTAGGGTATTGACTACCAGGTAAGCAGGAGATTTTGGTCTAGGTTGGCAAAAGCTGAGCGGAAACTTCAGTAGCTATGTTTGCAACCTAGACGGAATTGCTACAATTGTAAGCATGATCTAGACGGAAATTCTTCGTATTAGATATTTGTGACTCTGCTAACAAAATTAAGCACATGGTTTTTTTTTTTTTTGTTTTTTTTTTTTTTTTTTTTTTTTTTTGGGCAAAATCTAAGCATTGCACCGCTATAGTAATGATCAAGCAGTTCATGACTAATTGCAGAACATCAAATGCATGATTCTTATATCCAACACATACATCTAATTATATTTTAATATCAATATACATTATATTTAAACATACATCCCAAAATACTAATTAATTTAAGAAATTGTTATTTTACAACATGTATATTATATTTAATTGCAATTTGTATTGCTATATTAATAATAAGCAAAGGGTTATATGTTACAGATTGTTTACATAACTTGATGAACTTGCTTAATAAATGTATTATTCCAAATTGCATTTCTCCTCCAAATTATTGAAGGCTATCAGTTATTTTGCTTCGCTCCATTGATCCTACTTATACAAAATTATACAACATAATTAGTCCATGGCCATGAAAATATACACTTAGAAAGCATTAACTTCGTAGAAGATACTAATAAGAGAAACCAAAATTTATAACGCGCAAGCTAGTAGAAAGAGCATGCATTATTTGATTGCTAGAGAAGACAATACTTTATTTAAAAGTAGGAGAAAAAGAATTCGGAAGAAAATTATAGATTAACTTACATGGAGGAGGTATTCGATTCAGAATTAATAGACAAAAAATGTAATTATAGGCGAAACTTGTATGTTATATAAGCTTAGACCTGAATAAGTAAAAGCTAGGAACTAACTCCCACTTTGTGCTTGTATAGTAAAGTGAATGATGGACAATGCAAGCGTCAATTTGGTTAACTTGAGAACAGCTCAATCATAAGCAGAGATGACAAGTGTACATTAAATTGTTATGTCACAATGCTATTGATTAATATACTAAAAATTTACCAATCATTTGTATCATTGCTGACCTAGCCAATCATAGTTGCATCTGATTCTGTGCATATTGTAGGGACATTGTGTGCGTGTTGGCTATTATACATTCCATACCAACATCTAGTCTTTTTTCCAAGTTCTTAATATCTTTGTATGCTTATCTGTAACATGTATAATTTATGTAAAAAGATTGGCCCAAGCATAAGATTCTAAAATGCAATTAGACACATCACCAAGAATGAAACGGCAATAGAATTCTTACCGAATACTAGGTTTTCATTGAGACGATAGGTCAATATGGATGTCTTTAATGATATTTCCAACTTTTAATCTGCCGAAACCATTCAATGGTGCCCATAGCACTCTTCATGATACCTATATGAATATTGGATGTAACACATCAAGGCACCGTTGTGAGGAAATAGAGATATATTAGGATCATTTAGGAAACAAAACTTACTCTGACTTAAGCGATTAATATACGAGTATCCACCAGAATTTTCAAGAAGCCTGCTAGTAGTTTGTCTTATTATGCAAGACTCGAGATAGACTATGGCCAACACGCCCACATTCGCCAAAAGAACACTTATAGTCGTGTACGCAATGAGGGGAATAAGCAAACACCCCAATAGATCTGTCAAGTTAATCTCATCTGATGTTAAAAAAGTGCGCAAAGCAATGTGAGGCATGAGGCCATTAAAAGTTGCCTGTAATATGATGTCCTAAGAAGAGCCTCCATTCGGCTGTTGATCCTCTGTGCATTATCATGAAGAACACGTGCCAAAATAGAGAAGAACCTGAAGAGGATAATTAGCCACCTATCAATGTAACATCATCTACATAGAGTGAAATTAAAGGGGAAATGATGAATAGTCAACGCATAGAAGTGCAATGCCACATTGGCTAATCAAAGATAAGCAACACAAAAACTAAGAAAAACTTTGGTAATTTGCATGCCCAAAACAATTATTTTCCAGAACACACGCGAGTGATGGTCCTGCAGGCATTGACAAGATAATGTTAGAAGCGAGACAAATAGGTTTATTAATCACAAGAGCAACTGAGACATGAATACATTACATCCTGCATGAACACATCTTTTGCAAACCCACAAGACAATGGTATGGCGGCACGAGGAGGTTTATAATGAGAGAGACTTTTTGACAATATATATCAAGTCTCCAGCCGCTGGCAATGGCAATTAAACTCAAGACGAGTAAATAAGAGTACTTCTGGGTAAAAATGGCTTTCAGGATATTGCCTTTATTGATCTGCAACTAAGGCAAAACAAATGCAACAATTAAATTGAGACACTTAGATGACGCAAACTTCTCACTGATTATGGCAATTTTAGTCAAGTTGCCCTAACTCAAAGTTCAGTTCTTAACAAAACCCTCACATAAGACGTTGGGCGAACATCAAGATTCTAATTTTAGAAAGCACATATGCATTAGGCTCTGGCAAGTGGCTTCCTCACATCAGTAGCTTTATTATCATACTGCTTGAATGAAGCCTCGGCAGAAGTTTATAATTAAAAACTTAGATTTATGAATACTAATGAATGTTAATCTGGCACGTTGAGAGTATATCATACTATTAATGCCTATCGCAAGTAGCACCTGACTGTCATATCCAATTTCTAAAGACTTCCAATAATAATCATGGTATTTCTAATATAGTATGCCTCAGGCAGTTCGCATGGCAAGAAAATTTAACATAACTTAGGAAGTTGCAATAAAGTAACGACTGAATGATTCAATGCTAAAAGAGAAAACAAAACATGATAAAGAAATATATTAACAATTACAATGCACAACAACACTATCATTGCAAGCAAGAAAATTTGTACCAAACTGAATGATTCAATCTAAATACATAGAAGCATCAATATGGCTAATCCAACATTTCCAAGTCATCAATATGATCAAGTTAGAACTAATTTAATTAATAAATTATAAGTGAGATTATAAAATAAGTTTTACTCATATAGAAGGCCGCAATCACCAAAATTTTAGAGCGCTCAGAAGTTAGAAATTGAGACAAATTAAATGATATATTCTTTTCAAACAATTAAACTAAGAGAGAGATATTGTCATGAGAATAAAATAGCAAAATAATTTCATTAAGGACAAATAACAAAGATAAAAAGGATAAATATTACGGGCCACGGCCAGACGGGGTTCAATGTCGCACGCGCGGCGGCGGCAGCGGGTTCCTGCCACGGAGTGACGGAGATTACAGCGTGGGCCAGACCCGTTGGTCGCGTGGGCACGGTGAGGGATAAGAGGAGGGAGGGAGACTCGTGCATGAGTGACCTTGGAG